AATACAAATTTAATCTTTTAATATATATTAATTAAAATAATCTAAATTTATTGAAGATTAATCCTAATTTAAAAATTAATTAAATAGATATTTTTGTTTTAAAATGTATATTTAATAAGAATAAATCTTATAATTAAATTAAACAGTAACTAGTAAATTTCATTATAAGTTGAATATAGACTTTAGTAATTAAAGATAAGATTCATTTAAATTACTCCACAATTAAAGAATAAATTAAATCAATAAACAATTGATAAAAATAAAATTAACCATTAATTTTATTTAAAAGAGTGAATTAATTAACTTATAAAAATAAACAGTAATAATGTTCAATTTAAATTTACATTTTCTTAATCTAATTTTATTCTTATATAAGTAAATTTATTTATTAATATTGATTAGATAATTATATTAATTGACATAATTATGTTTTTTACTGAAACATTTTAAATAAATTTAATGCACAGCTTTATTGAGTTATATAAGTGCCTTAATAAGTTAAAATTTCATCAATTTAAAACTATATGTATCAATCTATATCGAAACTTCTGACATTAATGATCTTCTAATACAGAATTTAGGACTATTTTCGAAGAGTTTTTTGTCAGAATCCATTTTATACTTTCCAAATGACAATAGTAAACTACTATCAAAATATGTGACAAATGCCTAATGCCACAACTGTCATTCCACATAATAACTTTTTTACCTTGCTGTTATGATAAAGAATTGCTTATATTGAGTTATAAATGAGCTTATAAATGTATATATAGGAGCATATATTTTACTTTTTTAAATTTTATAATCGTAACTATAAAATTTAATAAGAATTATTTATAATTTTAGTCATGATTAAAGGGAAACTTAACGAATAATTATTTTATTGTGACATTGTCACAATGTCGAGTTTCAATGTTTAATTATTTAATTTGTAATATATGCTCTCCACCTCAAATTAGTAGTGGCTTGCCCCTGTACATCATACTTTTCCTGATAACAACAGAGTCATGCAGGTCATCTATGTAACTTCATTTAAGAAGTTTGAATAGAGATTATGTGACTTTCATTCTCGATATTAAGGAAAGACAGACGGACGGACGAGAGTGAGAATTTATATATAATCTTTTTCAAATTGTAGCTCAACTATTAACTTTAAAGAAATTAATTTATTATTATTAAAATTATATTAAAATTATTTTAGAATTTTATATTATTGTATAATATATATTTATTTTTGTAGAATTATTTAATTTCTATTTAATAAATGAAATAAATTCCTTTGTCAAACATAATAAAGATTTTTAAAAACTATTTAATTTAATTTAAAAAGTATTTAAAAACCTGAAATAAAACGATAAATGTAAATTTTTTTTTTGTTCAGAATTTAAGTAATTTTCTTTTAATATTAAAAAAATTAATTTATTTTTTAATTCAAAAGTATTTCAAACAAATTCTTTTCATTTAGTAGTAATTTTTTAACACAAAATTGGCGTTTTTTTATTATCAGATTACAGTATTTTTAACTATAATTAATAATAATAAGTGACAACCATTAAGAAATTGAAAAATTAATATTTTTTTTTAAGTTGAAAGAATAAAAGATGTTTTGAATTCAATGAAAAAGAAAAGTTTTTATGACAGTGAAAATAATATTTATATAAAAGTGTGACATATCATAGTAATAAATTTAAATAAAATCATCATTTAAAATAATTCATAAAATTAAAATGATGTAAATTAGCTTCGTATTCATTTTTCATTTAAAAATAGACTTTTAAAATAACTTTATAATAAGTTTAAAATAATTATCTATACGATTTATTTTTTAACTTTAATATTTTCTTATAAATTTATATAAATTTTACCATTAAAATTACTTTGTTTTAATATTATTACTGTAAAGCATTCTATAACATATAACTTATATAATGAATAATATATGAATGTTAAAACGTAATTTTGATTTAACAATTTCAAAGTACTTCGTGAAAGTATTTAAACATTAAAATCAGAAAATTGTTACAGAGAAATAGGGTAAGGAGAAATCAATAAGAATAATATTTATTGTTATATATCACGCGCCAAAAATGATATCTTAACCTTTAAAATTGTTTTCTATACAAAGAATAATAGAAAATGAAATTAAAAAACTTGAAATTATTAGTCAATATTGACGTTAATCCTTTAAAATACATTAATTTTTATTTGGGGGAGACAACACAATATTTAACTAAAAAATCACTAACAGATGAAAAATGGATGAAATCATAATACCATAAAATAATGAATTTTCTAGTCAGGCAAAGAAAAATGATAAGGATAAAAAAAATTATATTTTTAAAAAAAAATAATGGAAAATAATAACGTAGAAACTATGACAATACAAACAAAGATTAAATGGATAAATTACGAAGAAAAGTTTAGCAAAATACAATGTTTATTTTTAATTCAAACACTCGTAGCTAGAAACATAATTTTAATTCTGTTTTTAACATCACTTTACTTTTAAATATTATTATAAAATTTTGAATTTTGTATGTATAAAAACATGATAAATATTTAATTTAATTTATATAATTGTTTATATGTCTGTAAAATAAGAACTGATACACATGCTTGTAAAAAATACAATATTTTTGAAAGTAAATATATATAAGTAATATATATATATATATTTAAAATATTTGAACAAGAGAATAAGGAAAATACAGAAAGATAACGGGAACTTAGACTTGAGGTAGAGTGCAGAGTGATGTAATACATGCACGTGTAATATTAAAGGATATTTTTAAATAAATTAGTAAAATAATTATTTTACGGAAAGATATCAACACCAGATAATAAGGTAATAATCATCTCGAAGAAAATTATTCATATCTACGGAAGTGTAGCGTCGTTAACTAACGTTGAAGATCACATCTGTCCATGTCACTAGAAACGGGATAAAGCGCGTGCGCACGAGACGCCCACTTCTCCCTAAAAGGACGGTTTAGAAGAGAAGCAAAGTTAGCAATCCACAACGGTCCTTGTCTACAGGTGCCCAACTTCAACACGATTTTACAGTCATATAATATAACATGGAGGATCGTGAATGCGTTACTTACGACATAATCGATTATAATTTTACGGCTTTTACTTATAATATATCAACAGATATTTTTTCTTCTTTTACATGGAAAGAATGTTTCAAGTTAATAATTTGTATATCTGCCACTATAGTCGGAGTTATCGGGAATATAGGAGTTATACTTACAGTTGTATTGAATCATTCGATGAGAACCACTATAAACATTTACTTGGTGAATTTAGCTATCGCTGATCTTATGATATGTTTATTTTGTATATGGGTGCATTTTGTGAATAATTTGGCAGAATCGCATTATATTCTTGGTTCGTTCATGTGCAAATTCAACAGTTTTTCACAGAGTAAGTCTTTCAAATATCTATATATTATTTTATTTTTTTTTTTAAATGTAAACATTTATATTATCTTGCGTATGTGTATAATACAGGAATTTAAAAATAAAATAAATCTTCGTAAATATTTAGAAAGGAAAAATAAAAACAAAAGATATTTGTAGTTTCTATTGCAAAAAGAACAAACAACTTATGAATTGATTAAGAAACTTGTTAATCTATTTTTCATCCCATTGAAAACATTTACTGTTTTCAACTTCATGTTTGTTATGCTAGCAATTATGAAAATAATTATTTAATTAATTTAAATATGAGTTATTAACATACTTAATAAACATAATTAGTAATTAATAAATATTATATTAAATTGAATTTAAAATTCTTTACTCTGTGGTTAAGAAATAAATCAAGGACAAATTTACTAATGTAAACATCCTTTATAGAATCATATATCGATTATTTAATTTTTTTTTTGTTTCGAATTTAAAATTTAAACAACATTAAAGTTTATAATTATTATAAATTTAAGTTTTTGGTATTTAAAAAAATTTATATATTTTTGTATTAATTAGTTAATATTTATGTTAATTATATCGAACAATTTTTTTTTTTTTAAATTTGTATATTAGAAAGAAAATCTGTAGTAATAAAAGTTTTTTTTTATAACATTTTCAAAGAAATAAATTCCTGGTAAGATATATTTGTTATGATATTCGAAAATGTTGGAAAGTGTTGGAAATATTTTTATTTTCCCATTGGATTTATACTTTAAAAAATACATATTTGGAAGAAAAATCTTGTTAAAATATATTCCTAGAACTACTTAAGTTTATGAAAATATTTTAAGAATTATTGCACTAGTTTTTTTAGTATTTTTCTCGGTAATTTTATAATTATAATTTAAATCAATAAATGTAATTTGAACGTAACGATTTTGATATTTCGTTTATTATTCTAATTATCATAATAAAAAATAAGCATATATTTTTTTTTAAGAATAAGATTAAAATTTTAAAATTTGCATTAGGTAATTACTTCAAGATACTGAATAATTCTATATGAAATGAAGATAACTTGATAATCTATAATGGCATATATTTAAATCTGATGGAGTTATATCCTAATAAGATGACAGTATATTTTTCATTGTAGATATTATTTTCTNATTTTTTTTTTGCTTGTAGAAAGAAATGAAATAATGTTTTATTGTCAAACACAATTGAAATTTTCTTGAGATAATTCAATTCTTAATTATCTAAAAATAAAATTTATAAATTATAATTTGATTTATTCTCTAAACGCAAGTTATAATTTTTAATTATCTTGAAAATATCTGACTATTACAATAAATTGTTACATAAACTATAAAACTTTTAACACTTTTATCTTTTATTTCACTTATTATTATATAAATCAAATGTAAATTTTATTAAAGTTATAAAATAAATAAATTATAAATCATAATTATGTAGATTAAATATAATGATAATTAATTTTAATCTTAAATGGGATAGTTAAAATAGCAGTTTTAAATAATTAGTGCATCAGAAATTTAATAAGGCATAAAAGAATCTATAACATTTTCGTCTCAATTCAAATTAGAAGTAACTACATAATTTGCATTTCGAATGCGTAATAAATATTTTGTTAGTTACTATATTATCGTTTAATAAAAATAAATAAAAGTTTTAAAATAATTTATAGCTGAATTAATACTACATATTTTAAAATTTCTATTGACCTATGATCAGTTTCCTTCGTTCGTTTATATAAAGGAGTCACATAAATGCACGTTATCTTTAATTTACCAGCTTCTTGAATTATGTTTATCACAACATTAATTATATTAACAAATATTCATTGAATTATTTACAAAAAATATAATAAATATGCAAAAAATTCGTAAAAATTAGTATTTATTCTCTTGTAAGTTTAATAACTCCATAACCTGTACATACAACATATTAATATCAATAAGTTTTTATGGACAGCCACGAATTTCAAAGAAAACATCCATATTTCTAGTCATATCATCATTCGATTCAGCTTTTAATATATTGATGATGAATGAAACTAATACTGCGGTTAACTTCTGTTGGAATTTTATAGTTGATTTACCCAAAGTTTATTTATAAAAGTCGGTTTTTTTTTATCAATTAAATCTGCCGATGTCTGTGTCACCTCCAAGTCTTTAAAATTTAATCAGATTATCCTTTGTAATAGTCGGCTATTTTATAAAATTTTAACTAATTATCTTGCTTTTTATTCTATTCTTGTTTTTTGTATTCTGAATTTTCTTTTACAATTAATTGTATTTGCATAAAAGTAAGTGCGGTGAAACGTTCTTCATTGATTCTATTTAACAGATTTTATTTTATATATATACACTTTTTCTCATTATGTCAAACTTATTAGTGTTAATTTCAAAATTAATTTCTGTAATTCCTCAGATGAAAGATCTTTTTTGTACATCCATTAGTGATATGAAGATAAAAGAGGAAGAAAGTCGATCTGCCTATATAATCAGGCAATTTAGTATGATAAAACCACGTGTTATTATTCAACATATATCCTCAAGGTATCTTTAAGATCTAGTCTTCAGAGATATTATGTTAATTGAACGATTATCATTACATTTAGAGAAATCCACATAAAGATTAATGTCTCATTAAGTTTCTTTGTTTTAAATATTGTTTCTTCTTTATTATGTTTATAGATACATTTTAACTAACTTAGCTTGAAGTTTAATTAAATTGAATAATAATTAACCTTTAAGAATACTTTAATTGTATTTAACAGATCAGTAAATCAAAAAATTCGAATTTAATTTTTATTTAACTTCATAACTCAACATTTATTTTTTATTTCATTTTATTTTTTTTAAGAAAAGAAGTGAATATTTTTCATTAAAATGTATAAAAATTTATTGATTAATTTTTACTAATTAAAAGTTTTAATTAATTTATCAAAGTTAAAAGCATNCCTCGCATTAATCTTTGTTTTATATATAAAAAAGTAAATTTTTAATTATCTCCATTTCTATTTTTGTACTGTTTTAAAATTCTAGAAAATATATTTATTTGAAAATAAATAATCTTTATTTTAAACCTTTTTTTTAATGATTTTTGTTTTTGGTTTATAATTGCTACATTACTTACTTTTAAATTTCTATTTATGTATCACTTCAAAGCGTACAATTTCCACACTGAAAATATACAATTTTCTATGTAAACCTGCAAATTTTTTTTATTATTTCTACTTACGACAGTGAAGCAAAGTGTTACTAAAAGAATTGTAAGGTTTAGAAGTGAGTAATATAGCAATTATAAGTGAAAACAACCTCTCTCCCTCCTCTAAAATATAAACAACAAATTTAATGTTAAAATAAATCGCTTCAATATTAAATTTGTTGTTTTTATTATGTTGTTTCCTACGTAGTTACTTTTAAAAAATGTTACCTTGTTTTTTAGGATTTGTTTCAATGGAGTGTGTTAGTTATACTTTACGTAAATATAAAACACAACCAAAAACTGGTCAAATCTTCCAGTAATCCGATTCCGAATATCTAAAAATGTGTCTCAGTTTTCAGTTCACTATATCGATTTTTTTTTCCATGACAAAATAAAATTCGTATTATAACTGTAGTAAAAATAGAAAATTACCAAAATGATTGGATTGGAGATTGTTTGATAAATCTTATTGACGTGTATTGATTAAATTCGTAAAGTTTCTACATTATTTTCTAGCAGAAAACTATCCGAGTTTATGTAATACTCAGACTATATTTTATGATATAAATCATCAGTGATGCAGATATTATAGATATAATATACCGCTAATGAATATAATTGGTAATATGTCAGGAATATGTTCACTATAATAAGCTCTTGGCTACTATATTTGCGGCAGTGATCTGAAATACACATCTGATGGCAGTTGAACACAGAGTAAAACAGTTAACCGTATTATAAGACATTGTAGAAGGAAATTCAAGAAGAGATTGTAAGGCATTTTACATCTTTGACATTTTGCAATATTTAATGCATGCAGTTTCAAATTGAAGCTCCTGAGCTCCTGAACAATTATATCTGCAAGTGTCTGTATCTACTAGAAACTATTTTACATTTAAAATTTCTTTGTACTGTACAAATCTAATATTGCTCAGAATATATCTTATATAAAAATTATTTTAATAAATTAAAATATTAAGAAATATAGAAGTTAAAATAAGTTTAAACTTTAAAAATAAATTAACGTAAATTTTTAAGGATTTTAACTTATATTTTTTAAGCAGTATATATTTTAAAATATATGCTCTCCACCTCAAATTAGTAGTGGCTTGCCCCTGTACATCATACTTTTCCTTTAACTAAAAAGTCGTGCCGGTCATCTATCTAACATCTTTCAGGGAAAATATTTGAATTGAAATAATATGAGTGCTGCTTTATATCGGAAGTTTATATACAGATAATTAGGGCCTTCTGTCTATATGGTGTCCATATCTGATCTCATTTTTAATGTATCTAACTTCGTTCTTGAGATTAAGGAAAGACAGACAAACAAACCGACAGACTACAGTGGGAATTTATAGGTCTACAATTTTTTCAAATTGCAGCCCCAATTAAAAGCTTCAAGTGTAGAATGTAGAAAAATATACAGTATTAAAATGAAATAATTGTGTATAAAGTTTAATTTTTACTATATAATATCATTACAGTTTCGTATATAAATAAATAAACTAATTAAAAAATTAAACTGCGATGATATTAGTTTAGTATATAAATCTTATCTTACTCATAAATTAAGCAACAGAATCAATAGGTTAAATATAACTTAATTATATTTTTAATTTAAAATTTTAAGTCATAATGAATTAATTTTCTTATAATAAACTGCTTTACATCATGGAACAATATTTACTGTTTAACAATAGTTAATTAAGTGTATAAACGGAATACGATTTACCTATATAAATTGGCTGATATGTAAGTTGATTTCAGTATATTTAT